CTGGGAACTGAACTTAGGTCTTTCAGAAGAGTAGCCAGTGCTCTTAACCCCTGAACCATCTCTCCATAAAGCTCTTAAGGGATCCAGGTCAGTTCCCAAGAGAGGAGGATGATGTAACTAGAATAAGCTTGGTCCCCACATGGCTTCTTCTTACTTCCTATCTTGCTATGTGATCACTCCCTTTTACAGCCTGTTCCCCCACGTGCCATGTTGGGTGTGGCTATGAGTCCTTCACCATTGCCTGAACCCCATGGGATGGTCTGATCTTGGACTTTCAGCCTCTTGCCCCGACAACTATGAGCTGAAAATATCTTTTCTTTCTAGGTTATCTAACCTCAAGTACTTTGTTAAAACAACAGAAAATGGACTAAAACAGGTTCTCCTCTGTCAAGTTGCTTATTTTCTCTTCCAATTTTTATTTATTTATTTATTTATTTATTTATTTATTTATTTATTTATGTATTTATTGTGGAACTAGGGATTGAACCCAGGGCTTTGTGCATCACAAGCCAGCACCCTATCGCTGAGCTACATCCCCAGCTGAAGTTGCTTTTCTTAATGATCCATGATCAAGAGTGGGACTCGATCAGAGTGATCACACTGAGCAGCCCATCTGCCAGGCTGGTCTTACCACTCTCTTGAGCATTCGTATGTTCTGCCTCCTGGGTACCGGGTGGTCCTCTGTTCCTCTTCCTCTGTTAACCTTTCCCTGATGAAGTCACAGCAGGCTCCCAGTGTTGGGGTGATACCATCTTTCCCTGAGGAAGTCCTTTTTAAGGAAGGCCTTAATATCTTATGATCATTGTACATGTACATACCTCCTCCACCCGTGTCAATCTCAGGGCTGGATACAGGCCAGCACACATGTTCCTGAGGGTGGGCTTCATGTTGCCTGTGCTAATATAGGGACATTCAAAGGTCAGATGGATAGGGCCCCTGCCCTGGGGATAGGGTGAGCAGGGCAGGAACAACCATGTAGGGTGGTGAGACATAGGAGAAAAGGTGCTGAACGGGAATGCCAGGTGGGGGAGGCATGCGGAGTGGGACTGGAAGGAATGTTGAGCACATGGTATGTATTGATGGGCCTGAGGTGAGTCACTCAGGGAGACCTGCAGTCACTGCCATTTTTCTGGTTCCTGAGGTCCTTCAACAGCATGCTCAGAGTCACAGAATTAAGGGCCAGAGATGGGATTTGAACCCAAGTCCTTCAAATGATGCTCTGCTTCCTCAGGTCACATAAACCATATGGATGGGGAGGAAGGACATTCCCAGGAGAGGGAAGAGCAGAGCTTTAAAGTGGCCCTGTAATGAGTGGAGTGATGTTTGGTGGATAACTTAGTACCAGGGATGAACCTACAACCCACCCTCTGAAAGCTCTATGAAAGCATAAGAGGGAAGTTATAATTCATAAAGGGGTCTACTCCCAATGGTCAGGATCTACAATGTAATCCATTATGCAGAGTGATAATAACAAGCCCTGTCTCCAACCCAAGGACCCTCAATATTCTGAATTTACAGATTAAGGACAAAATAACAGGAGTAGATCCCATAAGACTGGCAAGACAGGAGTAGCCCAACATTCCCCAGATCACTTCCAGTTGCTCCTTAAGCCATATTTTCCCGCCTCTCAGCCAAGTCCAAACCTGCCTTGATATTCCATCGTTTAGACCAAAGACTCTTCCAAAGACCGACCCCACCAAGATAATGGTCGTCAGAGATTTAAGACAGACTTTTAGCACTGAAATGGGATAAAGAGGCATAAGTCCCTTAGTGGAATGGATAAAGTACTCAGTCCACATACTCAATCAGAGCAACTGTGTGCAGTTGGAGGATCCAATGTTCAAACAGTTCCCTTTCCGTTGGGGTGGTCCTTGGATCTGAATGGCGCATACTTCATGATCTCCCTCTTCCAAGACCAAGAAGTCTGGGGCAATGAGCCCTGTTGGACCTTGTCACTACTGTTTCCCCCAGCAAAGACACAAGACTCTGGATGCCTCCGAGGGCTGCAGAGCCCCTCCCAGGAGTAATTACACCTCCTGCCTCTAGGTGAGGGGAGTAATTGACTCCAGTGGGCAGTGTAATGGGGTACAGTGAAAGCTGGTCTTTTGAAGAGATGCCCTGGTGGTCACATAAGCAGATATTGTGGAAGACCCTTATTTGAAGTTCTCTGGGTTGATTGGAGTGGGACTTGTAGTTTATTCCCTTTCATTATGGCATTTAGATACTCTGCCCCACCTCAGGGCCCCTCCCACAAGAAGAGAGAATGCTCAGCTCCAGGAGGTCCATTTGACCCCTATATTTATAGGGATATCATAGGAGTGCCCTGGGGAGTCCCAAATTAGTTTGAAGCTCAAAACCAAATAGTGACTGATTTCAAGTCAGCCTTGTTCTGGTGGTTGACTAATAATGTATAAAGGATCAACTGTATCTGTTACAATCACCTAAGCTTTGTTATCTATACTGGGGATGCTGTCAACTTAGCCTTTCCTAACAAAATGGTTTGGGAAAAATAGACTGGCATTAAATATGATTTTGGCTAAGAAATGTGGCATTTGTGTATTGCTGGGAGAACAACGTTGCACTTTCATCCCTAACAGCACAGCTCCAGATGGGGCCATTGCCAGGACTCTCCAAGGTCTTAATGTTCTTGATAATGAACAAGCAGAAAATTCAGGACTAGACAAGCCTTTACTAACTTAATGGAACAATGGTTGGTAGTGGAAGGGAATCACGACCTTGGCTTCAACATCCTTAATTATAATAGCTGGAGTCATGATTCGAATAGGATGTTGTATAATCCCTTGTGTTAGAGGCTTAGTCCAGAGATTTATAGAAACAGCTGTTGCCAAACAACCTCCACCCCTATATCCACACAGCCTTTACTGTTTAGACACTCGGGAAAAAGAGGCCCAATACCTCCTAACAGAATTTGAAGGAAAGGATTATATAATAAAATGTGTGTGTGTGTGTGTGTGTGTGTGTGTGTGTGTGTGTCTGGGGGAACTGTGATCAATTTAGGTTTTTTCTATCAAACAGGTTTAGTAGTTGTATGCCTGTCTACCCCATCCCCCACCAACCCCAGTTCCTTCGTTAAGGAATGCCTCTGTCCAGCCAGATGTAATCTACTTTCTGGCATGCCCATATATCTGATATCCTCACTCACTGCTACATCTGGACTGGTGATCTCCTAAAAGCCCCCCCACCCCCCTTTTCCCTGCACCCTTTCCTCTTTTTCCTTTCTGGTCATTTTTCAAGCTAGTCAATCAGGTGCGGATTGAAGGTTGAACCTCAGCCAGTGAGGTACAGCTAAGTGTCCCTTGCATAGGGATAAAAAGCCAGCGCCATTTTGGCCACATGTGCATGGTGTCCTGCTTTTAGTGGCTCGGCATGCTTCTGCGAAGAAGGAAAATTTGCCTTGCCCAGACACCTGGAACTGATGTTCTACGTCCTCTGCAAGTACAGCAAATGCTCTAGCTGTTGAGCCGTCTCTCCTGCCCCAGAAGAGTTAGTCTTTATGCTGCTGGAGAGACACCAAAGCATCTCTCATGTCAGGGGCTACAAGGGCTCCTTTCCTCTGTCCTTCATGGGAGGCTCCCTCTGGGACCTGGCCGCAGCTGAGACCCACAATCGAGGGATATGCTTTGAGGTGACTTTATTTTTTCCCCTCCCTGCCTCCATTCCTCCCTCCCTCCCTCCTTCTCTCCCTCTCTCTGTTTTTAAAAAATATTTTACTTATTATTATTTTATGTGAGTGAATGTATTGCCTGTATGTGTGTAAGTGCACCTGTGTTGTACAAGGCCCCCGGAGCCGGAAGAGGGCGTTGAATTCCCCTGGAACTGGAGTTATGGATAGTTGTTAGCCGCCATGGGGGTACTTGGGCTAGAACCTGGGTCCTCTGCAACAGCAGGGGGTGCTTTTAACCTGCGAGCCATCTTTCCCTCCAGCTCCTCTTTCTTGTTTTTTTGAAACAAGTTCTCCCTGTAGCCCCCTGCTGGCCTGGAACTCCCTGCCTGCTTCTGCCTCCGGAGTGCTGGGATTAAGAGGAGCACCACCACCAAACCAGACTGGATTTTATTTTTTAAAGTATTCTTATTGGAAAAGGAGTTGTGCACAAGGGACCTACCCAGATGGTGGGTTACAGAAAAACCAGTGATTTGTCCTTGTCCCAAGGTCAGCAGCACTCTTCCAAATGATTCCTAGTCTCCCTATGTCCAAAGGATTCATTGAGTGATTGGAGGCGATGTTTTTTGGATTGTTTTGAGATAGGGATCGCCTTTTGTTGCCCTATCTGACCTGGAACTCCGGGATTCAGATTATCCTCCTGCCTCAAGCTCCCAAGTGCTGGGACTACAGGCGACTGGGCCCTCCTGTGTGGTAACAAAATGTTTGTAGACAACTCCAGGTGAAAATTCAAACCCAACAAATCCCGGTGGCCACCCGCAGCCCGCCAGGTACTAGCCCAGGACTCTCCTTTCTGAGACGCGGGATGGCAACCGTGCGCTGGCACACGCACACCAACGAAAACGACTTTTAAAAGGAACGGGAAAAGTAAGGATTAGGTTGTCAAATGCTCCGCTCTTTGCTCTTCTCACTTTAAACTAGGTCTGGGAGCTGGGTGTCTGCTAGTCCCGCGGACGTTGCCTTCCCATCATCAGGTTCAGGGGGGCCACAGTCCCCACCCAGGACACGCGGTCCAGCCCATCGCATGGCCAGGGTCTATGTGGCAGCCCCTCCCCGCCGGGCAATCTGCTCGGCTGGGCAGGCTCCGCTGTGCGGAGTGTCTCTGGTTTTAAGGCGGCGGATCTCGGTGGAAAGGCAGCGGGAACGGAATTGCTTGGGAAACCTCCGCTCTGAAGAGGGCGGAGTCCTGCGCCGCCCCGCCGGGTCCCCGCGGCCCGCCCTCTGCCCGCCCCCTCCCTGGCCCATCCTCCCCGCCCCCCTCCACGCCCTTCCCCCTGGTGCCTCGTCACCGCCGCTGGGCCAATGGGCTGGGCCGTGCGGCTCCGCGCACTCGCTGCCGCGGTCCCCAAGACCCGGGCGCACGAACCTCGGCGCAGCTCTTTTGCGCTCGCCCAGCCCGCGGCCGTCGGAGTCACCATGCAGTCCTCGCGCGCTGCGCTCCTGCCGCTGCTGTTGCCGCTGTTGCTGGCCGCGCCCTCCTGGGCACTTCCGTCCCGGCCTGGCCGCTCGGCCCCTGCGGTTACCGGCTGCCCGGACCGCTGCGAGCCAGCGCGCTGCCCCCCGCCGCCCACCGACTGCGAGGGTGGCCGCGTCCGCGACGCGTGCGGCTGCTGCGAGGTGTGCGGTGCGCCCGAGGGCGCTGTGTGCGGTCTGCAGGAGGGACCGTGCGGCGAGGGGCTGCAGTGCGTGGTGCCCTTCGGGGTGCCCGCCTCGGCCACCGTGCGACGGCGAGCACAGGCCGGCCTGTGCGAGTGCGCCAGCAGCGAGCCGGTGTGCGGCAGCGATGCCAAGACCTACACCAACCTGTGCCAACTGCGCGCCGCCAGCCGCCGCTCGGAGAAGCTGCGCCAGCCTCCGGTTATCGTCCTGCAGCGCGGCGCCTGCGGCCAAGGTACCCGTGTCCGCTGCGTGCGCTCCCGGGCGGCTCCCACCCGCTCTATCTGGCCCGTCCCAGCCTGACCCGAGGACGTGCCCAGGAGCAGCGGGCACCCGCGCACTGGGAGGGACGCGCAGGGTCCCGGTGGCTGTGCTCGGTGGGTTCCCTCCGAGCTCTGTGCTCTGCTGCAGGTCGTCCGCTACTAGCAGGTGCCTTGCAGGCCTCTCTCCGAAGCCCCCCCCCACCACGAGACAGGGAGGAGAGGAGTACCATAAAAGCTCATTTCTGTTGCCTTCCTTTTCTCTCGTTCCCCGTGAAATTAACCAGGTAGTGTTCTTTCCGTAGATTCTCTCTGAGAAAACTTTTAACTTTTTGGGGGGTGGGGGGGGTGGGGAGAATAGTGGTGACCTGCCCTGCCCGGTCCGCACTTTGTCCCGCTGGTCTCTTGATCAGGAAGCGATTTAGTAGCGCTGACGTTTCGGGGATGTCGCTGACCCTCTCGCTTCCATTGTTTTGAGTCAACTTTATAAAAAAAGACCCTATCGCCTGTCCTTTTGAATGAGCTCAACTGGGCGCTGGCCCACAAAATTTGCAGAGGCAGAGGAGGGGCAGGTTGGGGATGAGGTAAAATGTAACCTTCTCTGTTCATGTGGCATCTCTGTACCCACAGAAGCTGTTGTGGCAGGGAGGTGGTGGTGATGGGGTGGAGGAAACTGGAGACATGCCCAGCTTGCTGGCAGGACCGTTCAGAGATGCTTCTGTTTCCCTGCAGAGATGTCCTGTGGAAAAACAATAAGTTCAGTCTGGTCAGTCCAGCGGTGTGGGGACCTGCCAGCTGGGCCTGGCAGTGCCTGGCTTCAGCTACAGGACTCCTGCTCGAGGCCAGCACTACCTCCTGTGTGCATGTTGTGGAGAGAGGGCTAGGAGAGCCCAGGATAGAGGGATTGATCTAGATTTTTCTTTACAGGAATATAGTCCAGCATGACCATTTTAGATGTGGCAGTTTAACTCACATGGACAGGAAGGTACTAGAGTGGTGTAGGGAGATGGGAGGCTGTATAAACTCTTAACACCAGGGCACAAGGCTGAGCCCGAGTCCCGGGACACTCAACCTCATTAGGGAGAGGAGAGTTTTTCCAGAGAGGCGTAATCCAGAGGACTTCCAAATGGCATGGTGAGGAGGCACACACACTAAGCACCAGCCCATGTGCCAGGTGAGTTACGCTGTGATCCCCTGTGCTCTCACAACCTCTGGAGGAGGAAGCTTCTGCCTTCATTACTGTTTTACACACAGTGGAACTGAGGTTGAAGAGTTTGCCCAAGGTCACTGGAATTTAAACTCAGGCAGCCTTATTCAGAGCCCATCCAGAGCTTGACCCCAAGGGTGTGGGAGAGGGGCTTCCCAAGGGGCTGAAAGCGCATCTCACCTCTCGGGGGAAGTGGGGAACAACAGTACAACAGAGTGGACACTTGTGTGAGGGGTGGAGAATAGATTGGTGTTGCAGGAAACCGCTGGAGATGGCCAGGAGTGACCCAGACTGGTGGCTCAGTGCCTCCAGGAGGAGGAAGGGTTACATCATACATGCTAATGTTCTTGAATAGCCTCAGCTCAGAGGAAGGCTGGTGTAAAACTGACGTAGAGGAGGAGTACAGAAGGCAGAGAATTTGGGCTACTCTAGCAAGAATCTGAGTGTTCAGTGATGACATTGAGAAAATCATATTTTGGTAAAAAGACAAGGTGGGTGTTACTGTTTGTGGTCTTGCTGCGTGGGTCCCTGAGTTACTGACGTGTGAGTTGCCGAATTTATTACTAGTAAAGCTGAGTCAGTTAACAAGGTCTGGAGTTAGCAGAATCCAAATACTTAACTGGTTGAGTTGCACTGGAGAAATCGGTCCCTCACTGGCCATTGTGTCCCCAGTGACCCCCAGATGCGCCAGTGTGGCGTCAGCCACCAAAGAATGAGTGTACTGTCCCTGAAAGGGTAGAGACAGAGGAGATGTGGAGCTAGTGTCAGCCACCTCTCCTACTTTTGTAAAATTTGCTGAGCTATGTAGTGTGCCTGACATTGTTTGTGTGTCTGTCTGCCTGGCACTTAGGCACTGATAAATGTGTGGGTGGATGGATGGATGAATGGATGGATGGGTAGAGAAACAGGAGATGCTTGGGATACACAGCTGACCCACTACTTTGCTTTGCCCTCATTTGCCATCTGAGGCTGTATCCTGACTTGACAGAGGTGTCTTCAGGTCCAGAGCCTGGGATCCAACAGCCTTCATTCAGCTCTGTCCTGGTTCTAGCTCTTAGCAGCTGGTGCCTAGGGCAGCTAGCTCACTTGATGTCACAGTTGAACAAGGAGAATGGGCTGTCTGCTGTGTTGTGAAGGATTGGTGTGACTCCTGCTTTAGCCAGGTGGGCAGAGGCCTTTATGAGAAGTGCCACTGAGCAGATGAAGAAAAGCATGGAGAAATTCTGAGGCAGGATCTGGACAGAAGCTGTGGAGACAGGTGGGACTACTGTTGATGTCCCAGGCAGACAAGCCTTGCTGTGGGAGTCATGGTGGCCCTTTGGATGGAGAAAGTGCCACCTTTCAGAATAAAACTTGTCTGTAAGCTGTTCAATGAAAACATCAGCCATCTCTCATTGTGCTTTGGAAATACAAGCAGATTATTAGTGCTGCAGGATTTGGCTAAGAAACTATTCAGTTACGCTGGAGGATAAAGATCTGTTTTTATCCAATGTGTTGTTCAGGAGAATGCTAAAAGAAAACAAAACCAAAATTAATGGGTGTGGTGGTTCACACCTGTAATTTCAGCAAGACGACCGAGAGTTCAAAGCTAATTTGAGCAAGAATAGGACCGAATGTCAGATTGAAAAAAAAAAGAATTGCAATCAATAATAGGATAGTCACAACAAGGCAGACATATAATTCATGCTTATTCTGTGCCAGGCATCTCCTTACCAAGCCTTTGATCCTCCTAACAATATCTGTGGTGTAATCTCCCGAGTTCAGATGGGGACAGTACCTTGAAGGGTCCATGTCAGAGCCCTGTTCATAACCACTACTCTGTGCTCTTGATGGAGTCACAGAGATTATAAGCCAGCTCCAGCTAAGCGGCAACTAATTACAGGTGCAAATAAACGGTGGTCCAGATGACTATGGCTTTGAGACCAGGAGGGATGGAGACCAGCAGGGACGGATCCCCGCTCTCCAGCTCTCCCTCAGCAGGCACAGGAGTCGGGACAAGGTTACCTCCAGTTACAACTCCTTGGTCTTGCCATGAAGAGCAAAAAAGTACAAGGGGTTGTAGTGAAGATGTTTCCAAGCCAGAATCCCAGACTCTAAACTGTTCTTGGGTAGGGGAAGGCCCTTCCATGTGCTGAAACATTCTAAAACAAAACAAAATAAAAACAAGCAAGCAAACAAACAAACAAAAAAACCCAGTCAGGACTGTGGTGTGCTGAAGATCTCTGCTAAAAAGGGGACAAAGACAGGAAAGAGTCGTGGAAAAGACTCCCCAGATAGTCTTAGCACACACTCCAGGAAAGCCCACCTTAGTACAGACAGACCCCACATGGACAAGCTGAAAGGGTTCGAAGCACCAGGTGGGGGTGGGGGTTAGGTGAGGCAGCTAGAAACTTCCTGCTAGAGGTTTTTTAGGAGCACCTAGTCCTGAGCTTACTCCAGAGCCGCTGAAGGCAGAAGCTACGGAACAGAGCTCACAGACGTCTGGACTGTTTGTAGACCTGGCTTTAATTGGCTCATTTATTTATTTATTATTTATATATTTATTATTTATTTTTAAATATTTTATTTTTTATGTGTGTGTATGCGTGTATTGACTGCACGAGTGTAAGTACACCTGTGTCACGCAATGCCCGTGATGGTTAGAAGGCATTGGATCCCCTGAAACTGGAGTTAGAGATGGTTGTTAGTTGCCATGTAGTCACTGGGAATTGAACCCAGGTCAGTACTCTTAACCACTAAGCCATCTCTCGAGCCCTTAAGTGTCTCTTTTATGCGATCCTTAATTAGGTCATCATTGTGCCTGTGAGTGCCTGGCCCCTGGGTATTTTTTCGTTTGTCAGGTACAACGTTTGCTAGAACCGTTTCTGTTACTACCAGTTCCGATGATAACAGTTCTGATTTGTCACTTAAAAAATAAGCATGTCGGGGAGGGAGGACTAGGCTTCATTTTAGGACAGAGTTGGTAGAGAGAATGAGTTTCAGTCATTTGAAACTTGGAAACAGTCTTTTGAGCCATTTATAGGGCTGTTCTGTCTTGGGTTGGTATATTTTATTGCTCTAATGGTTTTGCTAAATAGTTAAAATCTTAAGACTTCATAAAATTAGTTAACAGGATCAAAAGCCAAGCGTTTGGCTTACTTCACCCTATCCAGGAGAGCAGTAAATAGATTGTGCTGGAGCTTAAAATAACCAACCACACGTGGTCGGGATGACGGCTGGACCGTGAGCTTGTTGGCAAGCTGCCTCTGCACGGCAGGCTGGATTCTGAGTTGGTTTGGAGTTGGGTGATCCTGGACAAATTTCGTGCCTTGGATTCAGACATCAGATTTTCCATGAGCTTACATTTCTCATGGATAAATAGCTCTGGCTTCCTGTGAGGCAGCAATTCTTCCTGCCAGTTGTCTGGGGGAGCCTTGAGTACCAACGCTAGGCTTTGGCCTGTGTGTGGCAGTTACTTGACCTGATGACCAGCCAGTGGTCCTTAAGGCATCAACAATGGAGGAAACAGATCGGGCGATTTATGAGATCCCTTTGAGCTGGAGTGGCCTGTGATTCTTATGAGGAAACACATCTCTGAAGAGGTTGTGGTCCTTCATTAGACTTGGATGGATGTCCTAAGAGTTACTTTTTTTTTTTTAAATTATAATGGGCAGAGCCAAGGTTAGCACTGAATGGCTGCATCCCCTCTTGAGCTTGGTCACCTATCCCTTCTGCTTTGTGTTGACTGATGAATGTTGCTGGTCAATGGGGGCCCCATGCCCACTTCCA